ATATATATAAACATCTATTCACATATGTTTCAATTTAAATCAAAGCGCCTTTTCGGTGGAAGGTTTGTACCTTTCTGGAACATTCTCCCAAGAAGGTCATTGATGAACCTTATGTAAGACTTGAAAACGTAATCTTCATTTGGATACATTTCAATTTAAAATAAATGGCATCTTCGGTGAAAGGTTTGAATCTTTGACAAATACATTCAAACAGAAGACATGAAAAACACACCGTCTTTCAAAGTAAAGCTGATTTTCACTACGGCTTTCTGGAACATTCTCCCAGGAAGGTCATTGATGAGCTTTATGTAAGACGTGAATACGTAATGTTTGCCTCGGGAGATCTGAATGTCCTGTGCAGGGCCCATCCAAGATTGAGTTCTGTAAAGGAATGTAAATGGAAGAAGGGTGAAAGGGTGAAAGAGATAGGAAAATAGTGTAATACAGAATTAGAGAGTTTGGAATATTCATGGAAGTTAAATAAATGATAGTTTACACAATTTATTCAAGACGTCAATCAAGTTGGTATTACCTAGTGGTTCACGTTATACCGTTATCATTCTCTCAAACTAGATACAGATGAAACTAAAAAAGAAACACATGAAAGAACAGCAGAAAAGACAAGCAGCGCCAACCGTCGATAACTGACCTGCCGGTACACTTGACGGCCACTCGTCCTCCATGAACCTGCTCCGTTGTGGTGACCATGCTGAACCCGATATGGGACCAGAACGTCACTCCGTTCTCGAACCCGGGGTTCTTCAGCAGTTCCACGGCCGCTCTTGTTACTACGCCATTTGACAGCACCAGAACAAAAATGGCAGCGAAGACTGGTAAGTTCAAGATTTGGATTTTCCTGTAAAATTGTCCCTCTTCCGTTTTTCCCATGTTGTGGGGTTTAACGACGGAGAAGACACGACCAATCTGTGCTTCTTAGGTGCCGCAAAGACGAATGTATTTGGTCTGTGCAGTTCATTCCATATAATTTTCCTTATATTTATCTGAAAGCAGCAGCAAAAAAAGTTCTTCGAGATTTCTACATATCTTTGCAAAAACAACAGGCAAAAAAGACGTGAACGAAAAAAAAAATATTGAATGCTCTCACGTACGGCTCAGCACATACAAGAGATAGAGCGAAGGTTTGAAAGTGTAACTTACGTCTGGATCTACAGACAGTCGTGTGACCCGAGCCAGGTGCATGTTGACGCATGCAAGTCAAACGTGTCCTATGTCACACCGATAAGTACCTATAGGAATCAGTTAAATGTCCTCAGTGTCACAAAACTGCGGTCAGTCTCGTTACAAAACACAGCACTCTCACTGTTTTCTCTTCACTTCCAAGTGCCAACGTTTCTCTGCCAATTCTCAGTTATCTCTTTACTAAATGGACTGAAAATGTACACATGTGTATGAAATGCTATCGACCTTGAGGAATATTTTTTTTACCCTTTGAAAATCGAAGCCGTTACTGGCTTGAATGTAAACAATTTAGAATGGTTTACACTATTTTCAACAACAACGACTATCAATTTCATAATAACGCTTACATTTCCTCTATGCTGCAATTTTTATCCCAACGCTCGACTCCCCCAAATGTGTTTTAAAAGTTTCAAAGGCTTTGAAGAGGAAGAACAAAATTCGTGTAAGCGTATTTCCTGAGGGTCCAACGTCAGGCCGAGCTGAGTCTAGACACCCCCTAAACCGCAACCTCACGATTAAAAGCCCGGTAGGCTAACAACTAGACCACCAACAGACATACTGTTATTGAGAAAGTTGTAAGAAACTGTGAGCATAAGAAAGTGATCGGACTACAGTTACCACATCAGCAGAATCGTAGTGCGGTCAAAATTGGTGTCTCAACTTATTGTCAAGACACATTTTGTCAACTGTCGAACATAAACTATCCAGTTTTTGCACAATGACTTCTATCAATTTGTTTTGTAAACACCTGTTAGCTGTATTCTATAAAATTCCTTTATAGATATTAATGTAAACATCTCAGTGGGTGGTTTGTGCAGGTTTTAAGAGGTTTACTATACATCTCATGAGCTGTTACAAAATCTTTTTTAAAAGCAGGTCCGTCCTTTCTTATAATTGCGACACTGTGCTTATTAAATGCATGTTTAGAGAACCTTTAGTGCAAAAAAAATAATATTACAAATTTGTCACCAAAGACTGTCATTGGTGAGCAGTGACGCTGGCCACCATGCGTATTCAAAATGTATGTTAGAAGTGTTAGAAGCAAGAAGTGCTATAAAAATTCCCTTTGTCCACGTGACGGTGATTTATTGTATTTTACATACATTTATGAAGAAACGTTTTTTAATGTAATTTTAATTGTTGCGGAAAAATATAATGAAGTTAAGCCAAATTGATACAAACTGTGTTGGTGACAATGGATATCTGAGGAAAGTTGCGCTACGAATTTGATCGCACTAAAGTGTGCATTTTGATTCAAGAACGTCTCTGGCCATGACTATGAACGGAAAAAAATAATTTTGTACTTGAAGGTAACCACCCCTCTAAACACAAAGCAAGTCACGTCCAAGGCATAGATAGCATTATTTTTTTATCCAACATCAACTACTATAACAAAGAGAGTAAACCAAAGGAAATCGTAGCGAGCAACTTGTTATGGTCATAAACGCTACAACTCCCGCAGATGGCAGCGCCTTTCTAGTGATGTGCTTATCTGAATGAACTTAATATGATTAGCTGATTAAATGTTTTGTTTGGCATAGCTTGTGGCCTTCAAGCACTCTTCTTTTTAAGAACAATTTTCCCCAAACATAACACTTGTAGTCTGTTGGACGAGAGACAACGTCTGGATTTGACTGTCTTCAATTTTTGCTTCTCTGGCTGCGTCTGCTTTTTGAACTGTTTTTATTAAAAACTAGCAACAAACTATCACAACATGAGGCCACTGTGATCTATCAAGGCATTGGGTTTCTCACTGATCCACATTCAATGGGACAATCTTTCAGAGAAGTTTTCAAAGCATTTTTCTTTTCTTATCTTTTTTTTTTTTTTTTTTTTGCCTTTTTTTTGGAGGGGGGCACTCATGTTCCACTCCCACAGACCAATTCTGAATAGAAAACAGTTTTTGAGGAGCCGTGTGTTTGGCATTCTGACCAAGTATACTGTCCATCTCTGGTGGATTTTCTTTCGGTGACAGAAGATAAAATAATAAATAATAAATAAGATACTTTATTTATCACAGAAGGACACTTCGGTTTACAATGGCAAACATACATACATACATAAATACATAATTATAAATACGTACAAACATAAACACATGCATAAATACATACATAAATACACAATATTACACAAATACAGAATAGTTTACAGCCATGCCACTGTCGGCCGTCACTGTGCAGAACCCTGGATTTTGAAAAACGTTGTCGTGTCCTGCTCAAGGACACATCCCAGTAATCACCCATCTGATCCCCGTGTCGCCGACCTTTGCTTGACACAACTTGAGTCTAAACTCACTACTTACTTAGCCACTGGAGCTAGGGATTTCCTCCTCTCAAGAGAGAGAACTTAATTAAAGCAAGGAAAGTTCTATTACTTACAAAAAGCACCTTTCTGTCTTTGCCATGCTTAAGGCAGACCGACGTATCGGCAAAAATTATTAATTTTTACATTTTCGTTTAAATGGACGCCTATACCCATTCTGCATCTAGTGTCAAAGGCAGGAAGATATCAGTAATATCAGCACTATAAATAGGATATCTCCCTATGGCAAACAGACGTAACTGGAAGGGCCATGCCCATATTTCCAATGGCAGCGCGACGCAACTTAAAATCATAGAAAGTACAGATACGTCGCTCTGCCATAGCACGGCATTAGTGTGTCTAGTGTAAAAAGAAAACCCAGTGTCCTGCAAAATGACCTTTACTCTGAGTTGCGGGGAAAGGACACTGGAAAAAGCGACCTCTGTTCATTTGATAAAATAACTTAAAACAGCTGCGTGTGTGTTTGTGAGTGTGTGTATGTATGTATGTGTGTGTGTGTGCGCGCGCGCGCGCGCGCGCGCGCGTGTGTGTGTGTGTGTGTGTGTGTGCGCGCGCGCGCGCGTGTGTGTATGTGTGTGTGTGGGTGCACAAGCATACCCAAATCTATCCCATCCCCTTACATCCCCTCCCTCCCGCGTGTGTGTTTTTGTAAGTGTGTGTGTGTGTGTGTGTGTGTGTGTGTGTGTGTGTGTGTGTGTGTGTGCGCGTGTCTATGAAAACCCGCAAACACCTTTTTAAAAATCTTACACTCAAAATCTTAAACGTCGAAATGTTCAGGTGACGTTTCACGTGTTAATGCATGTGTGTTAGTGTGTGAGCATTCTTGCGTGCGCCCTGTGTGTGCGCACGCGCATGCGTGTGTTTGTGAGTGCGTGAGTGAGTGTGTGTGTGTGTGTGTGTGTGTGTGTGTGTGTGTGTGCGTGTGATAAGTGTTGATGTATGATTGTGTAGAAGCTCCTTGACAAAATTATGTTGTTGGTTTTTTTAAGGACAAAAATGAGGAAGGGGGTTGGCATGAAGCTGATATTATCCTTTATGTCTTGCAAAAGTTTAAGTGCTATTGGTCGATACTCTTTATTTTCTTAATTGCTTTCATTTTGCAGTCTATTATTTTTATTTACCATTACCCGTTCTTTTGACGAGCCACCTTTAACTTACGACACTATTGCCTTTCAAGAGAGTCAAAACTTCAAAGCATGGAGTATGTCGGTTATCTTTAAGTTCGCGGTCATGGAGTTGGGGCAGAAGCACTTTTGCCACCTTCGCCTGTATTAGGGACAAAAAAGTGAGATGGATGTTTAATGCACTCCGAATAGAATAAGTATTCAGAAAATTGAAACTTATTTCCCAGATGTCTGTTTACCTTAAGACCACCAGTGCAATATAGCACGAATCTGATAGATAAAAATCTTTATATTCGATTCATTGAATCTGGAAATATCTTGTCCGGAAGGACTTAGTTGAGGTCTGTAACAATCAAAGGCGGTAACGACTACTCTTTGAAGATGTTTCGACAGATCTGTTCTTATAAGGTTGGACTATGAAGCAGACGATCCTGATCCGATTCCCCAAAGTGGCGTTCTTCAGCTCGGATACCCATCCACCTCTGCCACTGATCTTTCCCTGATGGGTGTTAAAATCTGGATTTCTCGACTGGCACATAACTTTTTTCTGCTAAAAACGACGCGACACCCTTTTGCACCATTCTATTTTGATACATATTGCTGTTTTTCAGTCCATCGCAAATGTAGAAATAAACGACGGACGCAGGGAGCTTCTCTTGAAGGCCCCTGGCCCTGCTTTGGGGGTATATCTAGGATGAGATTCAGCAAGACAGAGGAGACCTTTTCGCGTAAGCAATGACAAAGCTTTTGTTATCGCGCTCACATACTGTTACTTCTCTATCAGACCGCGGCCGGCCATCCACACGGTGTCCTTGAACTCCTGTCTAGTAGCCTGTTTGCTGTCATTGCATACCGTGTCCTCTTTTTTCACAATTTATTTGTAGCAAAAGACAAAGTACGGTGGAATGTGAAAGATCTCAAAATAACAGAATTATCGTCATTGAGAAAGATAACACTCTCTTTTTTTTTAAACAGAAAGGGATCAGGAACGGGGGGGGGGGGGGGTGGCACCAAGGACAAGGACCGACAGTGACAGTGGCAGTGGTTCACCCTGTATCTGGTTTTGCTTCTATCTCGCCCCAGAAAAACTAAAAAGCGAAACGAAAGCAAAACAAAGACGCAAAACAAAATACCCACAGTTTTTCCAGAGAGAGCAAGACAATGTCAAACTGGTTCGTTCCTTGGCTAGAGTTTAATGAAGAAAATACGGCTCTTTTTAAAAACAAACTATCTGCAACTTAGAATTTGTGTTCTGAATAAATTATTTATAACTTCAAGTTTGTCTTTTTTTCAGACTTAGGACGACATCTCCGTTGACACTTCGTCAGTGGAAGAGAATCATTTACTGCTTGCTCTGTTTTTGATGTTGGTTTTTATTTTTATTTTTTCTGGGGGGAGGGGGGTTAATGTTGCTGTTATTTTATTGAGTTGTTTTTTTTAAACTGATACCCCTGTCGCTGTTTGGTGGGGCTGTGGATTGTGTCAGAGAATGTTGACAAAGAGAACAAGCAGGTGATCGTCGGGTGCTCTGGTGTGGTTTACTCCTTCTCTCCTGTCAAACGTCTACCGTCCTGATCTCTCCTCCTTAATGTTGTGCTTGTAACTCTTGTAACACCTCAAATCTTCGGCATTTATTGATATTTACGTATATGACCTAAGTGTGTTGCATGTGCCATAAAACGCTTATTAAAACTAAAACTAAAACTAAAAAGAGAACAAGAAAAAAGCAAAATAGACAAACAACCAAATATTTGGTCTATGAGTAAGAACTTGAGCCTACACAAATTAAACATAGGGCCCAAATGAGAAATTCGGCAATATGTTGGGTCTCTGCGTGAATTCAAAGAAGCCAATGTTGGTGGATTTCTCTAATCTGTCTTAAAGTGCGCCCTCACTGTTTTACATTTCGCTACCTCAGAGCTACTATGTTCTATCTAACATTTTTGGCCGTTTTGAGGTACTAAGACCATGAGGGGTTGTGGAAATGAATCTCAGACCCGAATATGCACATTACTGGTTAAGATCATTAATTTTTCTCGAGAGGACGTAAAAATGATTTAGAAATCAGTTTCCAAATTTAACTGTCAATCTAATGGTTAAACACTTTGATACACTGCAGAACTCGCGGAAAGAAGTCTAAAACTTATCAAAGCGAACCTTTACGATACTGGCATAACAAGCTTCATTACTCATTTTGACTGACAAACACTCAGGTTACGCAATATCTTAAATAATGCAATACAGAAAGACTGTCGCTATTGTTTGTGTGTGCAATGTGGTTAAAATTCCTTTTCCCTCCTATTCTCTTCACACCTCTGTTCTACCACACCCCACACCCCACACCCCACACCCCAGTAGAACAGGGCGTACCTCTTTTCTTATACATCAGCAGCTAGATGAGGTAAACGTGAGCCCTTCATTTGGAACTTACTAAACCTGCCACCCACATTTCTACTCTCTGTTGGACCACATTTGGGTCACCGTGACGTCATATGCGAAGACAAGTTTGACTTCTTTTAAGAATGAGTGGTCGAGATTACATTTACCAAAGGCAGTATGCTATTTGCTGGATTGAATGTTGGGCGACCCTGGTTCGATTCTCAAGCGGTATTGATTTAATCTTTTGAACTCCGTCGCATAGAAGGTAGATCAGATGTCCTGATTATTTTCAATGACTTTTGCTGTATCTCAAGGGTCTACCCATAAATGTGACATGCGGACTGGAATGCTCTTTTTTAAAGCTTCACTGTTTTCTTGACACTGCCTATAATGCGTGTGGTTTTATCCGTCATCTTAACTTTTCCAAGCCCTGAATAACCATGTCTTGGTTGTCTGGGAGGTCGCAGAGCTCTCCACCGCCTGGAACTGCCAGAATAGCATCATCCTTGGTACACGCTTGTTAGATTAACATTTGAGAGACAATGTAGCATGAGCAGACTACCTTTCTATAGATTGACACAAGTGTTGACGAAGTTTTGCTTTGAAATAAGAAAAATATTAACTCAGTATTGTAATTGCAGAATGTACAGATAAAGCAACTCTTCGAAAATAGTGCCTCCAGGCACACAATTTTAGGGCTGTACTTCTCAGTCTAGTTCCGACAGCAGGTGGCCTGCGCCTGGACCCCCGTCTCGGGTCCAAACTTCTCGACTCCATTCACAGCAACACACGTATCTGTGCCTGCAGCGTTGGCTGTAGAGAGAGGGTGTAACTGTCAGCAAGGATTTGTGACAAAGAATCGACGACTAGATTTACTGGGACTGTTGTTTGCCCGTTTTTGGTTTCTAGTTTGTTGGGGGGGGAGATGATGAGATAGAGAAAAAGACACAGGAGAAGGTGGGAGGCTAGAAAGAGTGCTGAGGGGGGAGATTATCGGTTTTTTTGTGTTTTTTTGCTGTTTGTTATGGGGGGGGGGTAGGCGGTGTTTGTCTTTAAAAATATAACGCTGTTTGCTCAGTTGGTACATGTATCCTGTCGTACAACGGAGCAGATGATCTTCGTCCGAATATGCAACGGGGTATTCTGAACTTCAACTGTTTTGGGATGTTTTAAGGCTCTCTCTCCACTTGGCTCGGTCCTATTGTATATAGACGTTGCATTCGGAGATCTAGCCTCTTAAACAACCTTACAGTGCTACACAGTGAGACAATGACAATGACCTGATTTACTATCGATCATCTCCAAGGTGGAGCACTTGGTCTCCCGTCAGGACACCGAGCAAAGATGAAACATTTCATGAAGAATGAAAACAGGTGTTCGGATCCCATTGGTACGAACTTCAAACTAGTAAAAAGGTTGACCACGCTTGCTAATCCCCACATCATGGCGACGTAAGACTGAGAGTTATCTCGCCAAACTTTACACCAGATAGTCTAACATTTACACAACTATTTGCTGTATCACACCCAGATTAAACGCTCTTTCTATTGTCCTTTGTGAGTATACGTGTGTCCATCTTCGTGGATGAGTTCGTGAGTGTGCATGCATGTGTGTGTGTGTGTGTGTGTGTGTGTGTACATATTGTTGTGAGTGCGTGTGGATATTATTTTATGTACTTGTATTCGTCAAAATAATACACAATGAAAGAGACAGAACTCACTGTTGATAAATGCCCCCGCAGCTTTCGCATACTGTGAGAAGACGTTACATCCCGTCATGACGTAGCCATTAGGACACGTGACCCCAACCTGATCCGACTGTTTCTTGCCACTCGTCCCGGAGGTCACTGTGCGACATTGGAGGTTGGGACTCTGGCAGCACGCCGCGTAGGAATACACACCTGGTGGAATTTTGTGTGCGTGGGTGGGGGATAGGGAGGGAATGATTCATTAATAATTAGAGAACAGAACAAGCATGTGCCATTTGAAGAATTGTAAGGTATGACTGATAATTATGACAGATCAAACATGGAGTTGTGCAATGTCATGACAATCTATTTGATGAGAACATAATTTGATAATCAAAGCGAAATTAATTAGCTTTACTATCTACTTTCCTCGGGACGCCCAGACGCAAATGGGTAACTGGGTTTTTAGCAGAGACGGTGTGTGTGAATGACAGAGGTGTAGGCCTTACAGGTTGTAACATTGTATGCTTCCCATAGACCGAGAGGAATGTAGATTGAGAACTGAGAAAATTATAGTGAAATTGGGCAAGACTTGAGAGGAATACATGACTAGAAAAAGAAGTAAGAACGTCTTACTCACCGTTCCTCGGGTAGTCGTTCTGTCCCATACATGAGGTGTTAGTGAAGATAGTGCCGTCAGAGTTGTGGGAGTAGGCGAGCGTGGAGCAGCCTGGGGGACACACAGACAAAACACGTGGTCGGTCATGCAACCTCAAGGTGTCACAATTTATTTTTCTTTAGCTGGATGCTTTGTCAACTCTGTTGGTATCACGCTGGACTACGGAGAGGATGGCCAGAGTTCGGATCACAGACTGGGTATTCTTGAATTCCAATCTTTTTGTAGAGTTTTTAAGGCCTGAAACACAGACAGACAGACAGACAAACAAACAAACAGACAGACGGACAGACAGACAGACAGACAGACAGACAGACAGACAGACAGACAGACAGACAGACAGACAGACAGATAAACAGACACACAAATAGATAGATAGATAGATAGATAGATAGATAGATAGATAGATAGATAGATAGATAGATAGATAGATAGATGGATGGATGGATGGATGGATGGATGGATGGATGGATGGATGGATGGATGGATAGATAGATAGATAGATAGATAGATAGATAGATAGATAGATAGATAGATAGATAGCTTTTATGTTGTGCTTGCTTTTCCATTTTCTAAAATAAGAACAATGCAAGCATTACATTCATAGAGATGTCCTATTTTAAAATTACTGTACAGGAGTGCACGTGTGACATTTATTTTGGTAATATATTATGTAACAATATCTTAAATTTTTCTGTAAGAAAATTAGAAGCATGTAGTAGACTCACCTAAGGCATATGCCTGCCCCTGACAAGGCACCTCCACCTTGTCGTCCATCCCAGTACCAGAGGGTCCTGCCGTGCGGTACTCACATCTCAGACCCCGCACACTGCAGCACCGAGCCACGGCCTCAACCCCTAGGGGAAAAACACCACTTGGGTATGGTAGTGATACGTGTGGATAAACGTCTTGTGCTTCTAGAAAACATACATTGATTAACATCTTCTTCTGTTACTTCCAGGGAAATGTATATATCAGGTATAGTATTGAGCTGAGGGGTTACTCTAGAAGTATGGTTAAACATTTTGTAGAGAAAACATACATGGATATAAAGGTCTTGTACTTCTAGAAACAACACAATACATGTTTGGTAGTGTCATATGGAATAACACTAAACGTATGGATAAACATCTTGTACTGCTATAGACAACACATGTAGGGTTGTGAGACTGTGAATAATGCTAAACGTATGGATCAACATCTTGTAGTGCTAGAGACAATACAACACATACATTATGTATGATAGTGAGATGAAGAATAACTCTACGTGTGTAGATAAATATATTTATAGGTATGGTCGATAGACATGTGAATAATCATCTGGCACTTTAAAGGATAACACAACAAAACAGGACTGAAAAATTGTATTGAAATCGGTGATGACGTATGGATAAACATCTTGCACTCTGTGCCACAACACAACAAAGTTATGGATCTCAGGTGAAAAATGAATTTCCACGTGTGGATAAACATCTTGTACTTGTACTCTTGGAGACTTGAAGACTCTTAAAGACAGCACAATTTAGCGCGGATAAAATACAGTCTCGAAAAACAAGGGCCTGATTCTATGAAAACAATATTTCTTTCTTTAGCACTTAGGTCTAAAATAATTTACAAACCTAATTCAGTAAAAGATAAGGCAAATAACTGCAAACTTACCACGCACATTTATTAAGATGATAAAGGAAAATGTATAGCATACATGTCTATATTGTTGTAGATCTATATCTCTTTTGAATGTTTACGGAACTTCGACAGTTACTAAATGCGTAAAACAATTTTTTTTTTAAATTTTTGGGAATTTCCGCAGTTTTTAAAAGGGTAAAAAAATTTTTTTTTTAAAGAGGGGTTTTTCCCCCCCCCCCCCCCCCCCCCCCCCATCGACACAGTTTACATCATTTAGGAGATGTTCTTCGACTTGGGCTGAATAGGATAACACGACAACAGAAAGACCGACATACTCGATGTAAATCTTCAACACATGTGAATTGAACTAGGGCCTTCTGTGATAGACGGCTAGGTGCAACCTGCTACACTGCAGACGCCGATATGATGAACGACTAACCTGCAGCAGATAAGTATCCGTTCATTGCTCGACACGCCTGCTTTCCACCGGACATAAGAATTTCTTCCCCATCACGGTGCCAGTCGCTGTCCTAGAGACAAAGGTGTGGGGGTTTCAAGAGCAGTTGTGTGGAAATTGTCGAAAAATATGCTAGACAACAACCATAATAAATAATAATATACTGCTGTTGCGGCCTGTTGCTTTTGTTTTTTTCTTTATTAATCGAAGATTTAACGAATAGCGGTAGGGGGTGCTATGAGAGAGCGAATCATTTCTAGGGCCCAGGTGACCTATCCAACTAATGTCGCTTCCTGGAGATGCCTATCTGTGATGCACTATGGAAGGAGTTTGAGATAGGATTTCTTCAGTTTATTGGATCAACAAAACTAATGGAAGACAAGCGACGGTGAAGGCAAAACGTATTTATTTTATTAGACTAGGGATGGATAAAATATGGCCAAAGATCTTGAAATGGCTGCTTTCTAAATCAATGTTTCGGCGTAACAGACCTATGCTTGTTAGAAAATCTGCATTTTGACAAATTGAATGTTGCTTCTTTTGACCTGATTTGTACTTTCTGGTACGTTAATGCTGAGGCTGTATTTTTCCCAACGACCTTAGCAGAGGCTCGCATTTAAGTTTCAGTGGACATGCTCTTTGAGAATGCTTCTAGTATTTGAGTCTCAGGCTATCCCTGCAGGATATAAGAGCTCTTTTTTCAGGTGAAAATTTTGAAACGTTACACAGACAAGATGTTCATACAAAATAAAATAAAATATGCATGCCGTTTAAAGGGGGTAATGTTTTTATTTAAACTATAGTATAAGTTGCATGACTTTTTTTTAAACTGGTGGAATGACATGTGCCTGTAACCTTGCAAAACCCAACTGAGTGCTCCAAAAACAGTCTATGCCTCATGCACTGAATATATTTTCATTTTGATACGACAACTGAAAGTTCATGGTCTCGGGTCCTCGAGGGTCATCATCACCATCCAGTGCCTTGCCGACTAGCGTGGGCCTCCACTTCCATCTGTCTTGCGTTGCAGCAATGGTGTCTGTTGTTCTTGCTGCTCCCAGTCATGTTGTTAACTTGTCCAGCTGCTTTACCATCTGTCTCCCTCTGCCTCTCTTTACATCAAACGTGCCTGTTGTTACACTATTCTCCGACGCTTCTTTCCGCATTGTGAGTCCAACGAAATTTGCCTGTCGTTTTCGTATATTCGCCATAAGCTTTCGTTTGCAAAAGAAATTTGCTTCAACCAAGACTTCTTCATTTGTTTTTCTAACTGTCCACGGGATACGCAGCATGCTTCTTATGAACCACAACTCTGTCGCCTCATTTGTTCTTTCCTGCTGTCTATTGATTGCTCATGCTTCACACCCGTATAATAGGATTGGCTCGATGTAACCTTTTTTCTTATTTCCAGTGACAGATTGATGTTTGAGAGTATCTGTTTCATTTTGTGGAAGGCTGCTTGTGCTTGGCAAATGCGGCTTTTAATTTCAGTGTGACATCTCCCATCTGATGATATAATGGTCCCCAAATATTTAAAATGTTGTACTGGCTTGAGGGTGGTATCATTTATTTTGATATTTCAGGTTGGGTTTGGAGTTTTTCTGCTTATCACCATTGTTTCAGTTTTCTTGATGTTTCGGCTTAGGCTCATGTTGTCACTCTCTTGTACTTTGACATTTAACAGATTCTGTAGGTGTTCTTCATCTTCTGCTATTAGGAATGTGTCATCTGCATGTCTTAGATTGTTTACATTATGTCTCCCTATCGAGATACCTGGCATTTCTTCTATGTGTCTTGTGATATTATCCCTATACAGGGAGAACAGGTCGGGTGAAAGTAAACATCCCTGTCTGACTCCTCTTTTAATCTGTATGTATACGCTGGTGTCGTTTTCTATTCTTATTGCAGCGGTTTGATCCCAGTACATGTTCTTGATAATCCTTTAGCCTTTCCAGTCAATATTGAGGACTTCTAGCATGTCGGTGACTTTGTCGTGCCTTACTTTGTCGAATGCCTTGGTGTAATCTATAAAGCATAAATGAAGATCTTTCTGAACTTCCAGGGCACGTTCGAGTGTTGTTCTGATGACATATATGGCATTTACAGTGCCTTTCCCTTCAATAAATCCACACAGTTCTTGGTCATCGTGGGTCAAATGGGGCATAAAAAAATAAAAAAGGCAGGTAGTCTCCAGATAGGTGTAGCGTCCGTAATTTACAGATTCACCAAAAGGTGCCCTTGACCATCAATAGCCACTGGTTAGCCGTAAAGGTTTTGGTCTACAGAGTTATCTGACACTCTAATCGATCTTTGCAGAGGTCCTAGAAAAAAAATATGATGCCTTAAGTATACTTGTAAAGACTTTGACTGCACAATGTCTAAAGCGATTTCTTAAACGTGAACAAAACAGCTTGCAGGTATACTACCACATTTAATTTTCCTTTACGTGTTCTGACCTTGAGCCAACTAGAACAGCCGGTGAGGACCTCATCTCCCTGGCACGTGACTTGAGTAGTTTTACTGACGCCGACAGCAGAGGTTGGTGACCTGCGCGTGATGCACGTGAGTTGTGAGTTCTGTGACGTGGAGCTGGCCTGACCCAGAGTACGCAGGTTAGCCTGTGTGGTCTGTGGGTTGATCTGGACCTTCATGGTGAACGGGTCTATCTTCTTGGGTAACTGGATCGTATCTAAGATGGAATTGTGTTGGGTTTTTTAAATTGATACAGAAGTGCTCTTTCTATTCATGTACTTTTAAATACCTTTAAAACCTCAATATAATGACACATGCAAGTTCAGAACAGACATAAGATGGCGAAACAAAGTACAAAACATTTATCATTTTATAGTATTTAGAGATGGCCAGAAACCAAATTATGAGCAGAAATATTCAAAAGATAGCGTAAAGAACTTACAGCCGTTGCCAGAAACAGAAATCGAAACTGTTTTGTCCTGTGTGCCCAAACTGAAGGTGGTCCTCTTTATCGGCTTGCCCTTGTACCAGACCACAGCCTCGTAGTCTCCTTGGAAAGCGCGTAGGTTAAAGGAAGTTCCAGAGGCCAGGGACCGGTTCACGTGGGTGCTCCATGTCTCCTTGGTCAGCTCCAGGAACCGTTTGCCAGACTCGTTGAGCTGTTGACAAAGACGGCCGGGGTTTCAAGGTTCTTTTGTGAGACAGGTACGCTGAAGCAAATACGCACAGAAATGGCTATATGATGATGAAGATAATATGATAGACAGAGAACACAGACGAAGCATTGATGGATTACTAAAACAAATTGTATGCTCAAACTGACAGAGAGTATAAAACATAATGGTACTGCAGGTTATATAATACGAAACAAGAATCGAGTGCATTTATGTGAACTAGAAGTATAAATAGAGACATAATTATCAGATAGGTAGATAAATAGACAGACAGACAGACAGACAGACAGACAGACAGACAGACAGACAGACAGACAAACAGACAGATGGATAGACAGAATAGATAGATAGATAGATAGATAGATAGATAGATAGATAGACAGACAGACAGACAGACAGACAGATAGATAGATAGATAGATAGATAGATAGATAGATAGATAGATAGATAGATAGATAGTCCATACCGTAAAAAGGGATCCTTGCACAAGAGGCCTAAAAACATTATCATTGATCCAGAAGCCCCAGAAGATGACACCGTGCACGCCAGGGTGGGAGAAATACAAGCGGAGCACTCGCTCTAGCCTGGAGAAAATGAGCAACAGAAACCCAGGGGTAAATTTCATAATAATACACAGTGCGGCGTCATAAAGAAAAATTGAAAATGTAATCATCCGAGTATCGTGTTAAAGCATTTGCGCAACCTGCTCAAGCAGCATATCAATTTAAACCTAAATAAATGTTGCATCATCTGACACATTAATTGTTCATCTATGATTAGAGACGCCCGAGATATATTCACTCCAAATTGACCATTAAAAAATCAGGCTTGGCAAAATTGTGCCAAATCAAAGAATCGTAAAAGTGTGTTCGCACGTACATTGAGATGCATCAAACATTGGTGAAGTGGGCATGTATTTAGTATCAAATGAAAAGAGAATATAATTGTCTTTACAATGAACAGCATCATCTGATGCTTTAATAAGGTTTTTAAGGGGGTGAGGTGCACTTGGGACAAAAAAGAAAAGAAGGGCTAGAGAAAAAGGGAGACAGACAGACAGACAGACAGACAGACAGACAGACAGACAGACAGACAGACAGAGAAAGAGAGAGAGAGAGAGAGAGATGTATTAGAGAATCAAATAGAAGACAGAGTGAGGCAGGTACCATGCCACAAGGAGAAAACATTGCAATAACTTTTGATGATTCTCCCAGGCCTACGTACCAGTCAGCTTTGGTGTGCGGGTCGCGAACACCCAGAGTTAATTCGGTTACAAAAATAGGCAGACCTCCTTTCGCCACAACATTAAGACGGTACTGAGGAGAAGAAAGTAATGCAAAACACTCAGAACTGGTTTTCCAGTTTTGTCTTTCTGTCTGAGCATGTAGACGTCATTAAGGCAAAATCCTGCTGAAGACACATAAGCGAACAACAATGAATACACGGTGATAAACTTAAATTTCTGCAATAGATACACGGTCTGGATTCAATTTAAAAAAATTAAAATAACAAATAAAAAGGGCGTCTGCACTGACAGATACAAAACGGATGAGAAAAACAAACAACGAATGTAGAACAAGAATTCTATTCTTTGAACCCACGTTGCTATTTGGGTTTTTGGCATTTGCATGGACACATTCACAAGAGTCTGCCAGCGTGTCGGTTATAAAAAGTGGATTTGTTTGAACAATTTCTTGATCTTGAACTTGCCTATCTGGTGTCGTAGTCCAGTGTGCATTTATAGCAATAGCTGCTGAGGCACTGTGTGTATGCTTGTGTGTGGGTGTTTATGTGTATGTGTGTGTGTGTGTGTGTGTGTGTAAATGTGTGTGTGTAGTGTATGTGTGTGTGTGTGTGTGTGTGTGTGTGTGTGTGTGTGTGTGTGTATGTGTGTGCGTTTGTGTTTATGTTACACAAATGAATTTAAAAGTAAAAAGTGAGAATCTGCATGTGAGCTCTATTCTAAGCGTGAGTATGTGTGTCTGTACTGTACCTCTACTGGAGATAATGATAAGGTTGAGTTTTGGGGCTTAAAAGCGATAATGGAGTTTCAATACGGGTCTCAGTCGCGAGGAAAACAGTGAGGGTGAGTACCACTTTCGTGTTACGTTTACGATGGGCCTCGTTGTTGTCAAAAATACATCAGATTCATGCTTATGTACTGGTAGTCTTACTTACATAGATGCTGTCAGGGTTGGGCTCCTCGTAATCATTGAGATGACTTTGTACTCCGACCCCGCCAAGGCCGACATTGGCCGCCTTGAATTTCAGGATCTGGGTCAAATAGCTCTGAGGACGGAACGAAGGCAAATCGTGAATGTCCGACTAGCATTGTGCAACTGTCAAATTCGGTCAAACACGTTTTTACTCTCAAATTATGTTATTCACAAACGTAATCATAAATGGAGACCCTGTAATATATAAGATATTATACTCTATTCAATATTGGAGCAATTCTTTTAGATAATAAGAATTTTTTTTCTCATTTTTCCTCTGAAAATCAGTGTTCCTGCATACAAGGTAGTAAGCACGAATAACCATCCCTTGTACTTATCTCTGGAAAGGAAGGTGAGCTGCAACATCTTCTTCTTCAGGTGTCAGGTTTGGGGCAGACATTGACGATCACGGTACCTCATTTTATCAGCTCGGATTTTCTATGTGTGTTATTCGTTGCAAAGTTTTTCAGGCCATCTGTGTATGTTGATTTTTATCTTCCTCTGCTTCTCTTTCCCTCTATCTTTCCACACAGCAGCAGTTTCTCTAGTCCATTTGATCTATTCATGTTGCCAAAGAATCTCAATTTTCTTTTCCTGATGGTTCTGACAATGGATCTTTCACAACCTTCCCTTTGTAGCACTCCTCCATTTTTTCCTCTCTGTCCATGAGTTTCTGAGTATTCTCCTAAACTATCACATTTCAGCGGCCTCCAGTGTTCTCTCTGTGTCATTTGACCCCCAAAAGCAGTGCATCTGTGTGCCAAAGCGATAGTAAATATTTATCGGCTGCACTTGTTCCTAGAGGCCTGCTGGTACAGGATACTCTAAGGTATCGAATAAGCCTCCCTATTAATTTTCAGTTTTTTTGCGCACCCCC